GACATGGTTGACTGTTTGTGGATGGTGATATTATCAACCATTCGTTTGCCAGGTCCAGACATTATTTACATGCCACATGCAGCTGCAATATCGCTCGGTGTGGTGTTTGAAAACGAACATCTTATTGGATGTGCCCTTAGGCTGGGACCAATACCGATTCACCGGTGTTGTATTTGTAGAATTTACCTTCGTGGAATATTGAACAGTGCTCACACCAAGTACGTTTGAATGTCTCGTACAATAGTATTCATACATTGTAAGGCCAAAATTGTATTTGAACCTGTTTATTTGTCTTCAGAAACTGCTTCACTGGTTCACTGGTTCACTGTTTCACAGTGTCCTCTAGGCATCGAGGGTATCTTCACACTGTTCCTATTTCCAAATACCTGTGAAGATCCGGGTTAGAATTGGTCTTCAGCAATCCATGCTTGTCGTAGGAGGCGACTAACGGGATCGGGTGGTCAGGCTCGCTGACTTGGTCGTATCCCAATTGCGCAGACCGATGCTCACGCCGTTGATCACTGGATTGTCTGGTCCAGATTCGATTATTTACAGACCGCCGTCATATAGCTGGAATATTGCTGAGTGCGGCGTCAAACAAAATCAATCACTCACTCACTCCTATTTCCAGTTAAAGTGTTAAGCTGGGTCTTGGTCTCTCTATCTTTCGCTTGCTCGTACATAACAATTCATTCAGAACATTCTTTAGTAAGAATCCATTGTACAATTCCTTCCAGCAGCTGGCGATGGTGACACTGACGATGATACTGATAATGAAACCTCGACTGAGACTGACGATGATGAGGGCGGTAAGGATAAACATATGCCTAAAATGAGTTTAAAACGCTGATTATTCGAGGTTTAATGTAAAATTCATCAACTGTCAGCAATAATCTTGTAAGCCCGTACAACTTCTTACTCCTTGTAAGAACGTAGAAATTCTTATCCTTTGTAAGCCCGTACAAGTTCATATCCTTTGTAAGCTCTTACTAATACTTGTCCTCTGTGTGCCCTTCACATTTCTTAAACTTTGAGACAGAGAGAAACATGCAATATCAGCAAATTTTGCCCCAGACTCAAAACAACACTTTGATTAATTTTAAAGCTCTACCACATTAACAAGCTGATGGGTTTAAACATTGTTTACATATGATAACAACGTGTTTTATGTTACAGCTACAATGACCATCGCCCGTAATGTCAGGAGTCGTAAGTGGTTTTGAATTATCGATTTAAATATAATACTCGAAAGAGGACCTTCACCTAGATATTCATAACAGTCAGTGGTGGACATGGTTGACTGTTTGTGGATGGTGATATTATCAACCATTCGTTTGCCAGGTCCAGACATTATTTACATGCCACATGCAGCTGCAATATCGCTCGGTGTGGTGTTTGAAAACGAACATCTTATTGGATGTGCCCTTAGGCTGGGACCAATACCGATCCACCGGTGTTGTATTTGTAGAATTTACCTTCGTGGAATATTGAACAGTGCTCACACCAAGTACGTTTGAATGTCTCGTACAATAGTATTCATACATTGTAAGGCCAAAATTGTATTTGAACCTGTTTATTTGTCCTCAGAAACTGCTTCACTGGTTCACTGGTTCACTGTTTCACAGTGTCCTCTAGGCATCGAGGGTATCTTCACACTGTTCCTATTTCCAGTTACCCGTGAAGATCCGGGTTAGAATTGGTCTTCAGCAATCCATGCTTGTCGTAAGAGGCGACTAACGTGATCGGGTGGTCAGGTTCGCTGACTTGGTCGTATCCCAATTGCGCAGACCGATGCTCACGCTGTTGATCACTGGATTGTCTGGTCCAGATTCGATTATTTACAGACCGCCGTCATATAGCTGGAATATTGCTGAGTGCGGCGTCAAGCAAAATCAATCACTCACTCACTCCTATTTCCAGTTAAAGTGTTGAGCTGGGTCTTGGTCTCTCTATCTTTCGCTTGCTCGTACATAACAATTCATTCAGAACATTCTTTAACAAGAATCCACTGTACAATTCCTTCCAGCAGCTGGCGATGGTGACACTGACGATGATACTGATAATGAAACCTCGACTGAGACTGACGATGATGAGGGCGGTAAGGATAAACATATGCCTAAAATGAGTTTAAAACGCTGATTATTCGAGGTTTAATGTAAAATTCATCAACTGTCAGCAATAATTGTATAAGCCCGTACAACTTCTTACTCCTTGTAAGCCCGTAGAAATTCTTATCCTTTGTAAGCCCGTACAAGTTCTTATCCTTTGTAAGCTCTTACTAATACTTGTCCTCTGTGTGCCCTTCACATTTCTTAAACTTTGAGACAGAGAGAAACATGCAATTGCAGCAAATTTGCCTCAGACTCAAAACAACACTTTAATTAATTTTAAAGCTCTACCACATTAACAAGCTGATGGGTTTAAACATTGTTTACATATGATAACAACGTGTTTTATGTTACAGCTACAATGACCATCGCCCGTAATGTCAGGAGTCGTAAGTGTTTTTGAATTATATTATCAACCATTCGATTTGAATATTTATAACAATTCATTCAGAACATTCTTTAACAAGAATCCACTGTACAATTCCTTCCAGCAGCTGGCGATGGTGACACTGACGATGATACTGATAATGAAACCTCGACTGAGACTGACGATGATGAGGGCGGTAAGGATAAACATATGCCTAAAATGAGTTTAAAACGCTGATTATTCGAGGTTTAATGTAAAATTCATCAACTGTCAGCAATAATTGTGTAAGCCCGTACAACTTCTTACTCCTTGTAAGCCCGTAGAAATTCTTATCCTTTGTAAGCCCGTACAAGTTCTTATCCTTTGTAAGCTCTTACTAATACTTGTCCTCTGTGTGCCCTTCACATTTCTTAAACTTTGAGACAGAGAGAAACATGCAATTGCAGCAAATTTGCCTCAGACTCAAAACAACACTTTAATTAATTTTAAAGCTCTACCACATTAACAAGCTGATGGGTTTAAACATTGTTTACATATGATAACAACGTGTTTTATGTTACAGCTACAATGACCATCGCCCGTAATGTCAGGAGTCGTAAGTGTTTTTGAATTATTGATTTGAATATTTTCCTCCCTCTCTCTCTCTCTGTCTCTCTCTCTCTGTCTCTCTCTCTCTCCCTCTCTCCTTTCCACTCTCTCTGTCTCCCTCCCTCCTCTCTCTCCTCCCTCCCTCCCTCCATCTCTCTCTTTTCCTCCCTCCCTCCTCTCTCTCTCCTTTCCTCCCTCCCTCCCTCTCTGGCTCTCCCTCCCCTCTCTCTTTCCTTTCCCCTTCCTCTCTCTCTCCCTCCTCTCCCTCCCTCCTCTCTCCTCCCTCCCTCTCTCATTTCCTCCCTCTCTCCCTCTCCCTACTCTCTCTCTCCCCTCTCTCTTTCTCTCTCTCTCTCTCTCTCTCTCTCTCTCTCTCTCTCTCTCTCTCTCTCTCTCTCTCTCTGCGGGTACTATTATTAATGTGAATAAAACATTCTTCAGCTGACGATGACGCTGACGAGACTGAAACTGAAATCGAGTCTGACGATGATGCTGATGAAGGAGTAACTCCAGGTAAGAAACAGTTTCATTCAGATTCAACGTCAGACATGTGTTGGTTATGGATGTGTCCGCTGGGTTAAAATGCGTTGACGTTTTCGCGAAACTAGTACCGTTTTAATAGTGATTCATGTGCATATGCTTTTAAAGTCATACACTTGACTGTGCAATTCGTGGATACTTCACTTCGTGTGATTAAGAAACGGGATCTCTCTCCACCCCCACCACGTCTCAATTTATTTGATGTTGCACGGAGACACGAACCGCTTTTTGGTATACCCGTTAATGCTACTTTTCTGTTATTTTCAGGTTTTATTCCCAACATGCAAATGGTTGCAGGTAAGCCTGATTTTCTGTTATATTCTTAAATATTTGGCCGAACCATTTAACATTAATATACGGGCTTCCATTTCAACTCGACGCACCGAACACGTCATTATTTATAAAATAACCTCTCTGGTATTTTTTAGTTATCCAGTATCGGTTATTTGGTATTGTTGGTTCTTTCGTGGGTATTTGAGACACAAGATACCTTACAAGCAAAATGTTATCTTCGCTGGAGAAATAGATTAACAATAATTTTGATATATTCATTACTTATATTTTATAGGCCCTCCGCCAGTGCCAGAACCACAAAGAGAATGTTTCAATATTTCTGTCAGTGTACCCGAATACGTAGAGCACGAAGACGTCGCTATTAGCAACGGCATGACAATTGTCAACGTTACCGTCCTTCAAGACAACAGCATCTCAGGAGCCTGCAACTATGTCATTACCGACACTGCAATGTATGTCAATTCCACGTGCAGCGCTGATTTCGAGATATGTCTCTTGCCACTTAAGCCATAGACCAGCGGTGAAAGTCTTTGGCGTTACTGACGCCGAAGTTGGAATGGTTGATGACGTAATAGCGTTGTTTATTCGAGTAGTGTAATTTTGGTAAATAGTACTTTCTGTGCACTCTATGTATCTGCATCAATAAAACTGACAGAATGATATGTGCAGTTACGTTTTGTCCATTTATCCATTTATGTGTACCTGTTCGTTTCGCATAAGAGTACAATGTGTGAAGCCATTTTCCGGCGTCCCTCGTTTTGATAGTGCCAGAATGTTACTAAAATTGGTGAAAAGTCAAACACACTCAAGCATTCTTTTATTTTTGTCATTTGGATAAGAAAACCCGGGAATATTCGATCTCCCCTGAACGGTACAGGATCCGCGAATGTGGTTTCAAATCCAGGATTCCGCCTGATGGTCATCTTTGGTGTGCGGAAGTGTTTATGGGAAACATATGTACCGATCAGCCAATGCACTTATAAAAACGTAATTGTCAGTTTTAACAATAGTCCATCAATGTCACGGAGAAGGACACCAGATATGGGCTTCACACACTGTACCCATGTGAGGAATTCAACTCGGGTTTTCGGCGTGACGAACCAACACTTTAACCACTAGTAACGTCTTCGAAAAATCAACATGAATCCAAAATCTGCACGAAATCACATGGATGTGAAATTTTTCCTTTTCCTTTGAAACTAATCTAAAAACGTTTATTTGAATGTTTTTAAATCTTAATGAATATATCTAACTGCATACCTGTCAACTTTTAAACAAATATTCATATACATGCATACATGCATACATACATACATACATACATACATACATACATACATACATACATACATACATACATACATACATACATACATACATACATACATACATACATACATACATACATACATACATACATACATACATACATACATACATACATACATACATACATACATACATACATACATACATACATACATACATACATACATACATACATACATACATACATACATTTACATACATACATACATACATTTACATACATACATACATACATTATATGCATGCATACATACATTATATGTATGCATACATACATACATACATACATACATTTACATACATACATTATATGCATGCATACATACATTATATGTATGCATACATACATACATACATACATACATACATACATACATACATACATACATACATACATACATACATTTACATACATAAAAACATACTTACATACATACATACATACATACATACATACATACATACATACATACATACATACACATACATACATACATACATACATACATTTGCCGCCATCCATCACACATTTTTCAAACGAGATTAAGATTGAATAAAAATACGTTTTACCTTAAATTTTATTTATATTAGTTGCATGTTTCTTGTACTTCAATTGCGAATATTCAAATGTGAATGAAGAAACGCTCGCGCTGCTCTTGTATATAGAAACGAAATAGTTCTGAGACGTTACTGACCGTGACCAACTCCCCACTCCCTCAGCGTCAGTAGGTCAAGAGATGATTTGTTGCACATCCCTGATGTGTTGATGTAGCAAACACATACACTCGGTCAAGGAATTCATGTCAAGGTGAACGCCGTCTATGATGAGGTCAGACTGTTTTCATCTAAGGCCTTAGGTGCGCCTGTATCCAGAGACGTTATGTAGCAGCAGTCAGCAGAATACGACACAGAGAAAGACAATATTCATACCTGAAATTAGAATGACGAAACAAACTTATTTTCACTGAGAATATTCAATTCTTTAACCACAAAGCAACCATTCGTAAATTATCATTAAACCAAATAACATCGCTCTATGGCAGTTTGTTTGTGTATGTGGTGCTTAACATCACACTCGGCAATATTATAACTATATGAATGCAGCATTTTAAAAATCAAGTCTCAGCCAGACAAAACAATTATGAACAATCAAACATAATAAGGAATGGTCCAAGCAACCAGTGTACTATCACATGTAATCACGTCACTGAGCCATTGTCACACCACGCATTGGTAAAAGGGGACCTATTTCTTAAGTAGGTAACATATATAATCACGTCACTGACCCATTGTCACACCACGCATTGGTAATAGGGGACCTATTTCTTAACTTGGTAACATATGCAATCACGTCCCTGAACCATTGTCACACCACGCATTGGTAATAGGGGACCTATTTCTTAACTAGGTAACATGTAATCACGTCACTGAACCATTGTCGAACCACGCATTGCTAATAGGGGACCTATTTCTTAACTAGATATCATATGTAATCACGTCACTGAGCCATTGTCAAACCACGCATTGGAAATAGGGGACCTATTTCTTAACTAGGTATCATATGTAATCACGTCACCGAGCCATTGTCACACCACGCATTGGTAATAGGGGACCTATTTCTTAACTAGGTAACATATGTAATCACGTCACTGACCCATTGTCACACCATGCATTGGTAATAGGGGACCTATTTCTTAACTAGGTAACATATGTAATGACGTCACTGAGCCATTGTCACACCACGCATTGGTAATAGGGTACCTATTTCTTAACTAAGTATCATATGTAATCACGTCACTCACCCATTGTCACACCACGCATTGGTAATAGGGGACCCATTTCTGAACTAGATATCATATGTAATCACGTCACCGAGCCATTGTCAAACCATGCATTGGTAATAGGGGACCTATTTCTTAACAAGGTATCATATGTAATCACGTCACCGAGCCATTGTCACAACACGCATTGGTAATAGGGTACCCATTTCTTAACAAGGTATCATATGTAATCACGTCACTGAGCCATTGTCACACCACGCATTGGTAATAGGGGACCTATTTCTCAACTAGGTAACATATGTAATCGCGTCACTGAGCCATTGTCACACCACGCATTGGTAATAGGGGGCCTATTTCTCAACTAGGTAACATATGTTATCACGTCACTGACCCATTGTCACACCACGCACTGGTAATAGGGGACCTATTACTTAACTAGATAACATATGTAATCGCGTCACTGAGCCATTGTCACACCACGCATTGGTAATAGGGGACCTATTTCTTAACTAGGTAACATATGTAATCACGTCACTGACCCATTGTCACTCCACGCATTGGTAATAAGGGACCTATTTTTCTTAACAAGGTATCATATGTAATCACGTCACTGAGCCATTGTCACAACACGCATTGGTAATAGGGTACCCATTTCTTAACTAGGTATCATATGTAATCACGTCACCGAGCCATTGTCAAACCACGCATAGGTAGTAGGGGGCCTATTTCTCAACTAGGTATCATATGTAATCAAGTCACCGAGCCATTGTCAAACCACGCATTGATAATAGGGGACCTAGTTCTTAACTAGGTAACATATGTAATCACGTCACCGAGCCATTGTCACACCATGCATTGGTAATAGGGGACCTATTTCTTAACTAGGTAACATATGTAATCACGTCACTGAGTCATTGTCACTCCACGCATTGGTAATAAGGGACCTATTTTTCTTAACTAGGTAACCTCCAACAATATTCAGATTTAGTGCCAGATATTTGTTATGTACAATCCATGTATGTACCAGCGTTTGCCCTTAACCCTGAAAAGCTGCTGGCGCTAAAGAACCAGAACCATAAAAAGTTGTCGGTCCTGATCAGAATGTGTAAGCCCTATATTTTCGGTACATATATGTAATTCCCAGCAAACAAAAAGTGTGACAACTAACAAACTGAGTTAAAGAGTTTAATTTAACTCTAGCGACTGACTAGCCTTCATTTGCAGCAAAATATAAAAGCTAGAAATTACTGAATGATATTTTCTGAAAAATGCTACTCTTAGTTATTGAGGATGAGAAAGCTGTCGGCCATAAGGCCCTGCAGAAAATAAAAGCTGTGGGTCCGAGTGGTTTTCAGTCGGCTTCTGGCCTAAGACCTATAGAACGCTGGTATGTATATGGAATTTTGAATTTGTCAGTCGAAGAGCATTACATGATCCCAACCTTACGCCCACTTAATAATTCTTATTCTTGGCTACTAAACATTCTGTTACAGAATATTTTAAAATGATTCTGGCTAGCAAACATATGTTACCCTAAGACAAATATCTTTGTGAACAACTGTAACTATTACACAACAACACAACAAACACCATGTATTTACTTCCATGTATTTTTATAACAAGGCTTGCAGTAAATAAGCAGAATAAATACTATGACAAAATGCATTTGCTATATGCAGGGTACATACATGTCAACAGTATGAGTTTGATAAAAGTTTGCTCGGGGGATTGAAAGTGACAACACACACTATAAAAGCGGATCACAAGACTTTATGGTGTCTAAAATATGACACCGAAGACATTCTGACTGTATGATAGATTACACATCAAGAATGGATGAGGACAATGTCGAAAACCCATGTCCTGGACACTGCCGTGACATCTTTGAAAATCTCTGCAAGGCCATTCCTGTAATTTTATGTGTAACGCACAACGTACAGGTCACAAGGAATCACGAAAGCTACATATTCTCACACACAGGATATTAAGTAAGATAAGTTCGTTGTCAAAATACTTCCATAACATAACCTGCACCAAGTAAAAGTCTGCTTGTGATTATATTAACCATTGCTCGTAATAAATCAAGTTGTCCAACAGACAGTCTAGCTATAGCCCTGTATGTCACAATGAATTTCCTCATCGGTGCTTGTCATTCTTCAGACACCCTTTCCTGGACCTTAACATACACATTTGACATCTCCACAAAGAGTTTATTCAGCAGATCCATCAGAATGATTGCAATTGTTTCTGTCACCCCAACACACATGAGGTAATCTGTGACCACTATAAAGTGTAAGAACATTACTATCTGTCCGTTCATCCATTCATCCTCCACGTGCAAATGGCAAAATAGTGGCTGTACCTCATCTCTCTTATGTAGGTAATGTATGAACATAAAGATTTTTCTGGATTTCATCTTCTTTTATTCTTTGATACAGCGTTTCGGGGCCTGTTCCGGCCCCATCATCAGGTAAAACTGAGCGCAAAGCATCTTCTAAAATGCCAATCAAGCAGGTAATATATGGTTGGAATTTCAATATTGGCCGCCATCCTTCACATTCTTCAAATTCGATTACAAGTAAACCAGAAACAGTAACTGTTTTACCCATACAATTTAAGTCGCCCCGCCACTATGTTTTAGCTATACCGAAAAAATACCAGCAACGTATAGCCTTGAAAGATGATAGTTTCATGCAGATATAATCATGTATTAGGTGAAGGGTTTTCGATGGGAAACAAACATGATTGGTTTGTGACTATGGAAACACAAGGAATACAAACAAAATTGAAAATGTGAAAGCCCATAGTTGATCATTGTCCATGTATAGTTCCATGCAATCATATGCATTATTGTGGGAGAAGTACCGGGGACCTGAAGCAAACAGTTGTTTAAGCCTAAGTCCAAATTGTTGGAAACATAGCACAAAACAAAAATTAGGACATATTTTAAAATAGCAGAGGGCACTAGTTACGCTGGCGACAAACAGAGATGCCAAATTTCGCTGAAAATTGTTGAAAGGGTTTCATTTCAAATCATAGTATCGCCAATCAATTTGCCCTTTTGAGACTAAGTCAAAATTGTTTCTATGAAAAAATGAAAAACAGATTCAATTTGGCATAATTTGTACCAGACCAAAGACATCAGCTAAACTGATGAATTGCGCATTTGCTGAGCGCATATGGTTGAATATATTGAAAGGGTTCAGACAAGAAGACGGAAATAACTCTCACCCTGGTTTTTAAGACCTAGGTCAAAATTGTTTCCATGGAACTATGTAAACATTTTACAAAGAATCGACAGCAGGAAGCACCAGTTAAGCTGATATGCAGTGTGCATAAGTCATTTTTTTGTGAAATATGTGGAAAGTATGGAAAACATTCTGCATTCATTTTAGACCAAGGTCAAGACTTTTCCCATGAAAACATTTTTGAAGTTGTGTTTCACAATAGGATGGAAACCAAGCCAAACATAAACTGTCTCCCTTTTGCTGGGAGACATAATTCACAATGAAGTGAACTTAGATAGTGCTGCCCTTTCTGAACCAAATGTAGACATCGTCACTCTTGGGGACATCTGTTTTACCTTTCTAGGTTCAACGGTTTCTGAAGTAAAATATGTTTAGATGGATTAGGGACAACTGGACGATGGCGTAAACTTGAGTAATGAGACACCAAATCAGCATTTTTGACAACCTTTGTTCTCTTCTAAGGCATTCCATCCTCGGGCTCATGGGTAATATTAAGTTCTAGTTTTACCTCTAAAGGCCAAAATACATTTATGAAGAAAGCTACAGTAAATGAAAATGTAGAAAGCTACCTCACAATGTCAAACCTATACTCAATAAAATTTGAAATAAGAAATGATAAGGATGTTGTATTTGCCAACAGGAAAAAAATCATTTACATAACTAAACAGAAACCATTTCTCATCTGTGGCTACGTGTGAGAATACTTCATACTTTTTATCAATTTGACCAGTTTATTCTATACATGCTAAAATTAAGAAGAAATCCACCTCAGATAAATTATTTAAATATTTAAACAAGTCCTCTACTCATGTAAAATGAAGAGTTATTTTACTGGATGTTCTAATAGTACTTCAATAAAGACTCATCCAGGGTTAAAGTAAAACAAATCAGTCATTATTAAATAAGCCAGGGGCTACATAAAGCAGACCCGGAACTATTGTCGATAACTTGAGACAATATTGTTACCAGGTATATAATTCGATACCAGATTATTACATATTCCTCGGTAGATTATATTATCGTATACATAAATTCGTAAAACGTATACATCATTTACGTAGGTTAAGTAAGTAATGGACCGCCTACTGTGTCCTTAATCTACAGAGGGAAAAATACAACTTAATGTCTGGACATGAAGAATTATGAACATATGTCGGATTGTGTCCAGTGATATCCTCCGTGTTGACATGGACAATTATAAACATACGTTCATTGATATCCTCTCTTTAGACATGGACAATTATAAACATACGTGCATTGATATCCTCCGTGTTGACATGGACAATAATAAACATATGTCCTTTGATATCCTCTATCTAGACATGGACAACTATGAACATACGTGCATCGATATCATCCATTTAGACATGGGCAATAATGAACATACGTGCATTGATGTCCTCAATCAACATACGCACATTGATATCCTCTGGGTTGACATGGACAATTATAAACATACGTGCATTGATATCCTCCGTGTTGACATGGACAATAATAAACATATGTCCTTTGATATCCTCTATCTAGACATGGGCAACTATGAACATACGTGCATCGATATCATCCATTTAGACATGGACAATTATGAACGTACGTGCATTGATATCCTCCCTTTAGACATGGACAATTATGAAAATACGTACATGGATATGTTCCATGTTGACATGGACAATTATAAACATACGTGCATTGATATCCTACGTGTTGAAATGGACAATTACGAACATACGTGCATTGATATCCTCCCTTTAGACATCGATAATTATGAACATATTGCTATGTTCAACAATTCACTCTACCGCATTCTGCTTTTACCTAGTTATACTTTTATAATGATTTATATACTATTTTTTTATTTTTAGTAGGACATTATGTATATAATTCTAATCTGAAACTTAAAAAGAATTCGCATGGTAGACGAATGGGTGTCTGAGACATATTCTAGTTAAAAATTCCATATAAACTCTGTCAAAAAAGAAACGCAACCCCTGTATTTTAGAGATTTTGATCTGAAGTTTTAAGACGACACAGCATTTTTATTATTTAAGACAGAAGTCTGAAATTTGGCAGAATAATAACCAAGATGGGCATGTTTAAAATTGTCATTTCAAAAGTCATCTCACAGACACCAGTTTGTCACCAGGGGGGCGTCTTTCTCAGTATCTCGTATGAGCACCACGAGCTGCAATCACTGCACGGCATCTCCTTGGACAAGAACGGATAAGACGCCGGATTCTTTCCTGGGGAATGGCTCTCCACTCCTCCTGCAGTGCAACGCCGAGCTGTTGCAGCGTCTGTGGCGGCGGCTGACGTTGACGTACGCGTCGACCCAGAGTATCCCACAGGTGTTCAATAGGGTTGAGGTCTGGTGATTTAGAGGGCTATGGCAAGACATTGACGTTGGAATTCTGCAGAAAGTTCATTGTTGCACGTGCAGTATGAGGCCGGGCGTTGTCTGGTTGAAAAATCTGTGTCTGTTGGTCAATAATCGGGAGAAGGTGAGGCTGTAATACGTGGTTGATGTAACGTTGGGCTGTCAGGTTCCCTTCAACGATCACCAAGTCTGATTTCTGGTTGTATGAGATGGATCCCCAAACCATAACGCTTTCTCCGCCAAATCTGTCCCCTGTCGGACGCAGATGGGCGCAAAACGTTCATGACGTCTCCTATACACACGTTTTCTTCCGTCGTGATGTTGCAAAAGAAAACGGGATTCATCAGAAAACCAGATGCGCCTCCAGTTTTGTAAAGTCCATATCCTTACGTTGTTGCACCACCTGAGTCGTCGGCGGAGATGTAGGGGCGTAGTACCGGTCCAACAACTGGTCTACAGGCACGTAAACCCGCTTCTTTCAGACGGTTCCTAATCGTTTGAGCTGACACTCTCCTCAAACCTGGTATTTGTGTGGCAGTCACGGTTGGTAGGGCATGCCGATTACGCAGGTGATGGACCCGGATGTACCGATCTTGAAGGGGGGGTCGTGATTCTTGGCCTTCCACTTCTCGGGCGATCGTTGGTCAAATTGAAGTTGTTGTAGCGGCTCCAAAGTCGGGATATCGTTGTTTTGTGAACATTTAGGTGCCGTGCAACAGTTCCAAAACTTTCTCCGGCTTGAACACGACCAATGGCGATATTTCGGTCGGCAGCACTCAATCGTGGCATTTTTCACACAGCTTTTCATGCGACAAATGAATGAATATAATACGAAAGCACATGGGCTTTTATACACCCCTACATTAACTGCCATTTTCATGATTTGCATGTGTTTTTTTTGTGCGAAGTCACCATGAGGGTCATTTCATGCGTTGTGACGGAATAAGCAATAAAATACACTTATGCGTACAAATGCAGTTGTTTGGATGGTAATCTTCATTAATTACGTGTATAATTTCAATACATTCGAATAACATTTAGTTTGGAAGCAATAACTTCATTCAAACGAATTTTTCATATCTGAGGACAGGGGTTGCGTTTCTTTTTTTGACAGAGTTTATATATTTGTTCAGGCACACATTTACAACCTTTCAAATTTGGTGGTGGTTATGTGGTTGCTAACCCTTTCCTAGAACCAACCATCTTCACTGTTCCAATCTGTATGAATGAGCTTGCAGGAATGAGTGAGTATTACCTAGACATAATCCATTTTATTAAGAGGGGTTGTTATTCATTTCAATTACACAAAAAATCAAAAAACAAATTCAGTTTTATTCCTTTTTCCCACAAAGTGAAAGGTTGGCGTACTGTATTTAAACACAGTGGGAATTCAAGTGAGAATGAGTCTTCAACAACGCGTGCAAGTAGTAAACATTTGGTATAGCATAAACAGCTGAACAAGAAAAGCAAGATTTATGAATGTCAACTTCTTTATTGTGAATAACGCAACGTTTCGGAGTGTATGCTTACTCCTTCATCAGGTGAATGGTTTGGGATCAAGGGGATATATATACATTTAGGTGTCCACATCGACTCTTCCTTGCTCATGTTAACCGTCTGAGCACTACCTACTACTTTCACCTAAGATCCATTGGTAACATTCGGCAATACCTGACAACCGCTGCAACTCAAGCCCTTGTTCGAACTATTGTTACATCTAGGCTTGATTACTGTAACAGCATCCTTTCAGGCCTCAGTTCTAAACTCCTTGATAAGCTTCAGAAGATCCAAAACACTTCCGCCCGCATCATCAGCAAGACTTCTAAACGTTCCCATATAACACCGGTGTTGAAAGAACTGCATTGGCAACCAGTTAGGGCCAGAATTGACTTTAAGATCCACTGTCTGACATACAAGTGCCTCCATGGTTTGGCTCCCTTCTACTTGTCTGAACTCCTACATCCGTTTGTCCCCGCACGCAACTTGCGCTCAAACACACAAAATCGACTGGTCATCCCATCCTACAAACTGAAATCCATTGGACACCGATCATTCTCTTACTCTGCACCTGTGCTTTGGAGCTCTCTCCCATGTGCCATTAAAAATTCTGACACAATTGACATTTTTAGGTCCAGACTTAAAACCCACCTTTTCTCAGTATAATATGTATAATTTCAACTGTAAATACTCCAGTGTAAATATTCTGTAGCGCTTTGAGCATGCTTTAGGTTGTGGAAAGGGCGCATTATAAATATGCATTTATTATTATTTACAGATTAAAGATGAAAATGCAGCAGAGAGGGTTCGGGTGATCCTGGCACAGTCAGGCTGGTAAGGCTCATCATCAGCTCAGGGCCCTAGCCCCCTCTACACGCAGCCCAGACAGCGAATGGGACTTCTCCCATAGAAAACACTGCCTAGTCGAACCCACCAAGAACTCTCCGGAGAATATGAAGGCTCCCCAACACTGCAGCCTTCTGCATTACCCAGATTGTCAGAAGGGCTGTGGCCCCGGTGGAGAACCCGGTCACTTTACCTGATCTGCGCCAAGAGATCAGGAGGTAACAAACCAAGGGCACCGAGAACGAAGGGGAGCCTGACGACAGCGTACTTGGGATGCAAGCGAGACATTTCAAAGGCGAGGTCCGCATATTTATCATGCTTTTCCTGAATCTTGCCAATCACATTGCTGTCAAAAGGGACAGAAAATTCAATGATATAAATAAATTCATTGGCTTTATCAAAAAGGACAAGATCAGGTTTGTTGGCAGGAATTCTTCTGAGGCTGTATATGGGCCTATTCCACAGAAGATTGAAAGCATCATTTTCCATGACGCCCTGGACATGTTCAGGGTCGTACCAAGGATGGACCGCGGAGTCAAAGCCACAGGCATGGCAAAGGCGGTAGTAAAAGCAGCGAGCCATGCCATCATGTCGTTTCAGATATGCTGTTTGTGCCAAAGAAGGGCATCCACTGACAAGGTGTTGGACAGTCTCTGAGAATTCATTGCAAAGTCGGCATTTCATATTGATACTTTCTTTAAGAATCACATTTTGGCGATTACGAGTGTTGGATATCGATAATCTAATTGCCTTTCGTATTTCTAAACAGATATTGCAAAGTAAGAAAGATGTTATTTTGATAGGTCTCTACATACCACCCGAGGGGTCGACATACTACGCATCGTGTGGGAAACCACCAAGTATAGAACTACTTGATCAGTGGTTCTCAGAAAACCTGGATATTCTTTCTGACTGTCATATAGTTATCACCGGTGATCTGAACTCCAGGGTTGGGACAGGCAATGAACCACCTGAACCACAACCGAACTTTCTGGGAGATGTGTTCCCTGACGAAGGGTTAGTGCCTCTTGACAACAGACAATCTTGTGATAACTCAATAAATAGATTTGGTAGAATGCTAATGGAAATGTGCTATACGTACAAGTTGTATATTTTAAATGGTCGTGTGCAAGGAGATAAAACTGGCGAGTTTACGTTCATATCTAGCCAGGGTTCTTCGGTAAATGATTATTGCATTGCCAGTATTGATGCGTTTGAACTGATTGAATCGTTTCATGTAGAGGCCCGAGTAGAATCAGATCATATGCCATTAACGGCAAAACTTAAACTTTTTGAGCAAAGCCACCAGCTAGAAAATAATGATAATACTGACAGAAACTGCTCTGACAGAATTGTATGGAACCATACTAAGTCAGACGTGTACACCGACAGCATAAAACAACTTGCTGACACCTTTGATGAAGCAACAAAATTAGTTGATACAGATGCTGACCACGCTCTAGACTTGTTTGTACAAACAGTACTTGGTGCAGCGGACTGTATGAAAAAACGTAACAAAAAGTGTATTCCAAATGGGTTTTTTGATAAATATTGTAAAAGTAAAAAATACTTCACTCGCAAAGCCTTGCGTCGATTCCAAAGAAATAAATCTGAGGAAAACCGACGTAATTATTGCAAACAGAGGAATTTATATAAGGGTATCTGTAGGCGCACAAAGCTCTCGTATGAGCGTAACAAAGCTGAAGCATTAAAGCAAGCAACCGGTAACCCAAAGATGTTTTGGCGTATCCTCAGAGGTATATCTCCTTTGCACCGACCTCGTCCGAATATCAGTAATGATGCATGGTTTAACCACTTTAGTAGCCTGTTTGCAACTTATGATGCACCAATGATTGACCACTTTGGCTCTACGGAAGAACCAGACATAGATGAAGTTGATGCATTTATCCTAGAATCACATATTACTTCGTCAGAAATTAGTGATGCTATAAAACATATAGATAATGGTAAGGCAGCTGGCACAGATGTAATACAAATTGAAATGATCAAAACCACTTCCTCATATTTCATGCCTTTTCTCGCTACACTTTTCAATAAAATATGACTCGGGAACATTTCCTACAAGCTGGACAAAGTCTATCGTTGTCCCAATACACAAAAAAGGTGATAGAAATAACCCCGACAACTACAGGGGCATATCGTTGTTAAGCGTCTTGAGCAAAATCTACACTGGTGTGCTCAATAATAGACTGAAAGTCTGGACAGAGCTAAAAGAGAAAGTTCCAGAAACACAGACAGGCTTCCGATCTGGTTATTCAACCGCAGATCACATATTCACGCTAAATTCTATTGTCGAAAAATGCTTTATGAAAAAACGAAAAAAGCTTTATGTCGCCTTCATAGATTTCAGAAAGGTGTTTGATTATGTGAAAAGAAATAAACTTTGGTTTTGCCTTAAACAGAACGGGTTAAGGGGGAAAATGCTGTCAGCACTCCAAGCAATTTACATATCTGTACAAGCTTGCGTAAAATGCTCTTCTTCAGATTTTACCGATCTATTCAATTGCCCAAATGGAGTGCGCCAAGGATGCATCCTAAGCCCGTTGTTATTTTCATTATTCATCAGTGAACTGTCAAGCTCTGTAAATGAATGTGGTAGACACGGCGTGCAATTATTCCCTGATTTATATGAACTATTCCTACTTCTATTTGCAGATGATGTCATCCTCGTATCTGAATCAATTGTCGACCTTCAAAACCAGTGAAATATTCTTGAAACGTTTTCAGACTATTGGGGGTTAACTGTTAATCTTGATAAAACACAAATTATTGTGTTCAGAAAAGGGGGCATTCTTTCGAATAAGGAAAAGTGATTTTGTAAAGGAAACCACATCGCCACTGTAAATAGTTACAAGTATTTAGGTGTCTGGTTTTCAAGTAACTTAAAAATGACTAAATGCATTTCAGACTTGGCAAGCCGGGGTAAAAGAGCATTGATGGAAATCATTGTCAAACTAAATAAGATTAGAATGATTGACCCGAAAATATATTTTAAAATCTTTGATTCCCAGGTGATGCCGATATTATTATATGGCTGTGAGATTTGGGGAGTCAAGCAATATGAATTATTGGAAAGGTACATCTTCTAGCCTGCAAACGATTTTTAAGGGTAGGAAAACAAACTCCTAATACTATTGTATATGGCGAATGTGGCCGCTATCCAATATATATAAATGCGTACTTACGGCTTTTACGTTATTGGCTAAAATTGCTCAAAATGAGCGAGTGTAGATTACTCAAGAAAGTGTATTACATGTTAAGATATTTTGATGACATTGGAAAAAAAGAGTTGGGTATCGTACATAAAAAATATTTTGTTTTCTCATGGCTTTGGATATATCTGGATTAACCAATCTGTTGGCGATGAACTTTCTTTTGTACAATTGTTTAAAACATCATTGATAAATGAATTTTCTCAAAGTTTGACTTCCACGTTGAATAACAGCTCTAGATATGTGATGTATAGAGAATATAAATTCATATTTGAACCAGAAAGATACCTGTATATACCTGTACTACAAAGAAAACATGTTTGTCAAAGTTTAACAATGTTGAGGAAATGTTATTCACAATAAAGAAGTTGACATCCATAAATCTTGCTTTACTTATGCATTCCACTTCTAAATGTCCTTCAAAGATTAGAGCCGAACAAGGCATGAGAAGGTATACACCAGTGTTGTTGTTTTGTTGAGAATTGGGGTTCTCGTGGAGGCTAAATCAGAAACAAACAATAATGTCATCATGATGTTGGATACGAGCATCCTAGGCGATATTACATAATCAAATTAATAAGTTCTCACAACAGATTTGTCACGCCTGGAAACGGGGTATAGTTTATTTCGCGACTTAACTACTTTTGATAAATTCAAATGACAAACATAGTAGCAGACCAACTGGCACTATGCATGTCTAATATATTGGAAAGATCTCTCAGTATTTATAAGCAGTGTCTGAAAACATTTTACGCAAATTTGACCCATCAGTGACACAAATGATGCTGAATGCTCTTCGCTATTTTGACGTGTGCCATACATTCCCGTGGATGTTTTTCAAGTATACTATTGGCTAGCCTCAGCCTTTGGTACCGTTGGGGCAGGATACTGACATCTGGTATCATCAGTAATATTTGACAGAAATTTATAAACACGTGCTGTCATCATATTTCATAATGGCAGTCACACAAACAAACACATACCGTTGAACTAAACAAACGACTCTGATTTTTTCAGATATTTCTCATGGATGTAAAACGGGTTTCGTCGCTTTATTTAATATTAAATAAGTTAACCATTTTAATAAGACAAAATATCGTATACAATATAGGGTTTCTGAAACAGAAGCACGTTCGGTTAATAATCTTTATTGCCACGTGTTTACTGTCCTCGGTCACACAGCCTGAAATGTTACATAATGCTACACTGTAAATGTACATCAATTGCCACGTCGAACACAAGGGAGAGATAAGCTACGTTAAACCAATGTTTGCTTAACATTCAGTGCTGTATTAAAACCTAATTATTGTGTAAGAGAAGTCAGGAAGTAAACATAATGATAACATCAAAGATAAACGTATTTATTGTAGCATTAAATGCCCTGTGTTTATCAGTAGTATAAACTCATCAATGAAGTCGTAAAATTTATCTCAACTTACGCGCACCAATGAAAATTTACATGGAACCAACGACATTAAACTATGCTAATATAAAACCGAGGAAAATCAACGTCTGACAACTTGCAACAATGAACCGACTCCTGCTAACCGTTCTTGTGACTTTCCAAGGTAAGGAACTTTTGATTATTGTACGATTATTGTATGCTTTAATTTCATCTTGATCGATCCCGAATCTTTCAATTTTATAATAGCATGGAACAGATCACCCTAGAAATGTGTTTAGTTTACTTTCCAATTCAAAATGAAATAGGTTTTAATAGGAATATGGATGATGAATCACATGTTTCGTGCAAAATATAAGTCATAATGACTCACACCATAATGCATACGTCACATATTTTTCAACTGAGAGATTGACTTGTCGCTGCATGTGTTTGTGATGGGTGCCAGCAGTGGGACAGAATACGTTCGCTCTTTCACCACCTAGTATCGTCACTATTTGATAGTGTTTCATAGACACATTCATCTTTTTCTGCAGTCTGAACTGAACACTGAATTTGATTGTATAAGAGATGTCTTATGATTTATTTAAATAGGTTCGTGTCCTTTCACAACAACTATACAGAAGAGTTTATCTGTGTTGAAGATAATTTATCTGCATTCTGGCGACTTGCAAAATTTATAACCACATTTTGAAAGACCATAAAAGAGAAAAATATGAAATATTTTGCCAAATGTACAAGTGTTTATCGTAATGTGCTTATCGTCTACAAGAAAAGTGTCATAATATTGCAGATATATCGTATATAACACATATTCAGATATTTAAGAGATGTTTAAAATATAAAGTAAACCTAAAGTTTCTATTTTTATCATTTTACAGTGCTACACTGTGTCTTCGCGGCGCATATCAGACAAGGTAAGTTCTAAATTTTGTTCACTGTCGTTACGCGTACGGCCCTTGGGATAGCTCACTGTGGTTATACGTACGGCCCTTGAAATAGCTCACTGTGGTTATACGTACGGCTCTTGAAATAGCTTACTGTGGTTATACGTACGGCCCTTGGAATAGCTCACTGTGGTTATACGTACGGCCCTTAGAATAGCTCACTGTGGTTATACGTACGGCCCTTGGAATAGGTAAACAGCAACCTGTGTCAATCAGGGAATCGGTTTGTCGGATTGGGTGGCTTTGCTGAGTGCGTTTCATCCCAACTTTGCTCATAATATCCATCACTGATTTGTCCGATCCGTAATTTGCAAGCTGTTATGTTACAGCGTTAAACGACACAAACATACTTACCACAAACATTACAGCTACAAGTGTATGAGTGTCGGGGCGGTGAGGTAGCCTAATGGTTAAAGCGTCCGCTCGTCACGCTGAAGACCCGGGTTCTATTTCCCACATGGAAACAATGTGTGAAGCCCATTTCAAGTGTCCCCCGCCGTGATATTGCTGGAATATTGCTAAAAGCGGCGTTAAAGTAAAACTCACTCACTCACTCTCAGAGTGTCGTATCATTTTGTATTGCAACTGATAGACATCTATCTCATGATCGACCTTATATATAGGGAGACTATATTCGAACCAGTTAATTAATTCAAGTAATTATGAGATAATCAAGTAATTATGAGATAATCCACTGTATGAACAAATGATTACTGTTTCTGAAATTGGAAATTAAGATTTCGTAAAGCCATTAAGAAAACAGTGCAAAAACTATGTTTTGGCACCACTTGCACTTATGGCAATAGTTTGAATCCACTTGTAAGTCTTCGTTGCAAAATATATTCTCAATATGTACGTTGGTTATTGTTGCATTGTATATAAAACGACCTCTGTATACAGCAGGACCTCGGCAACCCGGACAGAATGGAGGAATCAATGACCCAAAGAACGGTACTATTAACATTTTCCTCTTATATGTCACTAAAGACAAGCTGAACTTAATATTTTGGTATCGGTGGCGTTAGTCCAGTGATTAATGGGTTTTCTCTTCTTGTTACATTCCCCACATGGGTACAATATGTGAAGCCCATTTTCTGGTGTCCCCCGCCGTGATGTTGCTGGAATATTGCTAAAAGCGGCGTAAAACATAACTCACTCACTCACTCTTCTTGTTACATAAGAGTGTATTCTCGGCATGTGTTGTATTGTGAGAAAACCATTTCCGGCTTTATTGTCGGAGTTTTAGTTAGATATTCGCTGACTTACTCAAAACGTATGTCGACAGCGATTTTAACAAGGGAGAACGCAATGAATAACATTCTATCAAACGGCGTGTTTCTGAATGATGTCCTTCTTGGGAAATACCAGCAGAATATACCCCAGCAGCCTTGCGTGTGTTTAAGAGCTGACTGTTGATTGGCTGATCATTATGTGTCACGTCATCCTGCAAATAAGTGTTCATGCCATCCATCAATGGTCATGAGTTTGTACCAACAGTTTATTTGTATATAGCTGGAATATTGCTGAACAATTTAGAACGAACTCACATTGTAAGTTGAGTCATGTATGGAATGGTTACTAACAGATATAAGGGTAGACGAAAGGTTCTGGCCTCCCATGGGCATATCAAACACTTATGATCGTGATTGAATTCTAAAGTCAAAATTCGGTACCATATTTGTACAAGGGCACTCAGACCTTTAAGGGATTGATCAATACTCAAGCTATTAACCACTGTTTCGTCAGACCTCTACTTGACTGCACTAAGATAGAAGTTTACATTGCCTTGATGTACTCAGGTTGGACCTGTCCTTTTACATTCAGCGCGCCACTGTATTGAAGAATGGGCAAGTGGAGATTCTGAAATCGGGTTTAACTTTCCCCAAGCGAAGCGAATTTTAAGAGTCACACTGGAAAATATCCGGGACAAACTTCTGTGTGTCCGTGACAGCACCTACGGCGTAAGAGGAAACACTGTGTGGGTGAACACCGGGTGTCAAGCAGAGGTCAACATATGCTATGAAGTCTCCCCAGGGCCAATAGTCCGTAAGTATAGCTACGTCAATCTTCCGCATGTTTGGGCCCTTATGGGTATAATATGTCCTTTTGACAAGTACCCTTTCCTAGATTTTCGAAACGATCTTAGTTACTATATATTAACCTGAACACCTTACTTTCAAAGATAAAAATCTCAAAGGTCTTTAGATACATCTCAGTGAATTACTTAAAACGTACAATGTTAATTTTATACATTATAAAACCTCAACGAGTATGGGAACCCAGTTTGTATGTATGTATGTATGTATGTATGTATGTATGTATGTATGTATGTATGTATGTATGTATGTATGTATGTATGTATGTATGTATGTATGTATGTATGTATGTATGTATGTATGTATGTATGCATGCATGCATGTTATGTATATAATGTATGTATGTATGTACATGTATTTGTGTGCGTGCGTGCGTGCATGCATGCATGCATGCATGTATGTATGTATGTATGTATGTATGTATGTGTATGTATGTATGTATGTATGTATGTATGTATGTATGTATGTATGTATGTGTATGCATGCATGCATGTACGTACGTACGAACGTGTGTGCGCGTGAATGCATGTGTGTACTCACAGACACACATAGACACTGACACACAAACCCACATGCAGACACACACATATAGACATATAGACACAGGCACACACACAATGAA